CCAAAAATTTCAAAAATCCGAGATAGCTGTTTTGTAGCCCTGTTGATTCTACAGCTTTTATGTCCGTATCAATTTTCTGTATTTGCAAAGCTATAGGCCTGGCAGCTCTTCCCGTGAAACCCTTTTTTGGGTCGAAAACGGCAGAACATGACGTCACTCTGACGTCATTTCCGGCCAACCTATCATAGCCTTTGGAAAAATTTTTTGGTCACAATGTGCAAAATTGATGTCCGGGAGGGTACTGAAAGTTTGGTGACGATCGGCGCAGCGGTTCTGGAGATATATCGAAAAGTCTGGAGGGGGGGCAAAAAATAGCCCCCCACCAGGTCGCGGGTTAACCCGCGCCGGGCCGGTGCTCTGAGATTCCGCGCCGGGCCGCGGGGGGGGGGTCTGAACACCCCCCTTCTAACTCGGCTCCTGGGCCACGTAGCGACACGCGGTAAGCGGCAATCGAAAGAACGTCAAAAAGAAAGACGAAAACACTTCGGTCATTTTTTGGGTCAGGTCAAAGGTCAGGTCACCAGAGGTCACCAAAGGTAAAATGTTCACTATTTCAACATTTTGGAAACTGCCAACGGCTATCTCGGGAACCGATAGAGCTACAGCGCCGCGGAAAAGCGCATTCGATAGCCCTTTTACAGACCTTTCTGAGTAATGTTCTCAGATTTGACCTCAGGTCAACGGTTTAGCCTCCAGAGGGCAAAAACTCCAAAAATAGCCGTTTTTACGAAAAACGTTTTTTCGGCAATAACTTTTGACTCAAAAGAGCTATGACATTACTTTTTCCAGCATCGTGTTCCTCTCGTCGAGACGCGTCGAATGAACTATAAGTTGACCTTGAAAGGTCAACTTGAAAATTTGACCTCAGGTCAAGGTCATGACCTGACCGGAAAAGGTCATGTTGCATACCAGTCGATCTGCAACGTCGAGCCGAACACATCTAAGGCGTTTTCAGCGCTCTAGCACGCCTCTATCAGAAGTTATCATCGATAAACTGTTAGATTCTGTTCGTGACCTGAGATGACCTCGGGGACATAACGAGGGGTCACAGTTGCCATTTTCTGGTTCAGTGTGTCTATTTTACCTACATCTCGATGTTTGAGAGTGTTTAGAATAGCGTTCGTGCAAAACAGACGCTTTTGAATTTTCTCCCATTGACTTATAATGGAGAGGCCGCAAAATTGACCTGACCTTAGGTGACCGATATCAAAATTCCGAGATATACATTTTATAGACAGTGCTGCTCTAATCAATCGCTGAAAGTTTCAAGGCAATCGTTCAGTCGGTGTAGCTATGACGAGCATTCTTTTTTTCTGAGTTGAGGTCACTTGGCGTGACCTGGTGACCTGACCTAAGGTGACCTGGGTCTGAAATTTTTACAACATGTGCGGAAAAGATGCACAAACAGGTGTGCCAAAAACGGCGGCGCTCCGCGCTGCCGTTTTTGAGATATCTACGTAAAACCGCAAGGGGGGGGGGGTGTTCAAACACCCCCCCGGCCCGGCGCGGGTTAAAAGGGCTATCAAAAACACTTTTCAGGGGCGCTCTAGCTCCGTTAGTTTCGAGTTGTGCGTCGGTTAAGGTTTGTTGAAAATTGTCGACATTCGTCCTGGAAATCGGCGAAAGTTTGCCTTTGACGACCTCCGGTGACCTGACCTTTGACCTGACCAAAAAGGTGACTTAACCCTATTCCTGGCGGGCTCCGCCGGGACAAGAAACTGGCGGGGGGCCGATTCGGCCCCCCTTCCGATCTCAAAAACTACACATCGCAGCGACAAACGGCGAACGGCGTTTGATAGGTCGTTTAAAGATCTACAACTTTTACAAAAAACATTTTCAAGTCAGGTCAATATTGAGGTCACCAGAGGTCATCAACGATAAAATGTTTTGGAATTAGTTACCTATATCACTTTTAAACTAAGGAACATAGAGACATAAAACCAATACATTTTTTGTTGCTCTCGCCGAGGCGATGCGAAATAAGTGTGTGATGACCTTCACAGGTCAATTTAAAATTTAACCTGAGGTCAAGGTCAGGTCATTCATCAATGAGGTTGTGGGGTATGGTCATGCTGCATACCAAACGACGCGCCTTGACCAGGCGAGCAGTTTGGTACCACTTACAAGTCTTTAGCACCATCATGTCGTGATTTATTGACAGAAAAAACGATTTATGACGTCACATGACCTCAGATGACCTTTGCCGGTGCCCCTGTCAATTAGCGGCACCAGGATCATCACCGATGAGATAATCTTCCATAATACTGAAAGAACTGGGTGGTTTTGACTCGTTTACACGAAGCAGGAGGCGTTTCAATATTTTCCCATAGGCTTGCAATGTAAAGGTCACGAGTCTGGCCTGACCTCAGGTCACAGATATGAAAATTCTGAGATATACAAATTGCACATACTGGTACCCTAACTAAAGCCTGAAGAGAAGAAATTGTTCGGTCAAAAACTCTAGCTCTGGCGTGATTGCAAACTTTTCTGAGGTAGGGTCACCAAACCGCCTCTGGTGACCTGACCTGAGGTCAGATCAACTCAAAATTTTCAGAAATGTTGCGTAAAAGCCTTTTAGAAAAAGTCAGAAAATTTGAGCTTCCTAGCTCAAAGCGTTTGGGAGATATAACCAAAAAACCTCGGGGGGGGGGGGGCGCCAGGAATAGGGTTAAGCAATTTGTCATTGTTTTTAACGCTCTTTCCAACGCCGCATTCCTCGTATCGCTACGTTGCCCAGGAGCCGAGTTAGATGGGTGTTCAAACGCCCCCCCCCCCAGCAGCGCGTGGAAATCCAGGACCCCCCTCCCCCCAGCGGTGCGCGGGTTACCACAGCACAGAGTGAGTCCTCGTTTATGACGTTCTGGCCTTGCGCCTGTGTTCAAATATTTACATGAACTACTGGCTTACCTACATATGCGCAGGTGCGCTCACCTTACAAACACAGTAAAGGAGTCTAGTCTTTTTCACAATTTTAACAAGAAAAACGACAGCTGCGTCCAACTCTACTAGACATATTAGGTATACATATATCAATTGACAAGTGTTACTGAGCGTATAGGAAGGTCTTAGATTAAGTATTCATTTGTTTTATACTAAGACTGAAGCTAAATATTGAAAAATTGAGATTTTGCCCGACGTTTCGCATTTATTGCATATGCCCAAGAATAAGCAATAAATGCGAAACGTCTGGCGAAACCTCAATTTTTAAATATATAGCTTCAGTCTTAGATTAGAACAAATGAATATTTAATTGAAGGCCTTCCTATACGCTCAGCATCTACTATAATAGACATGTCAATCGGATAACTTTTCGGTACAGCGATGCCGATACCTAACCGATACAAAGTTCGTATCTCGTATCGTTATCCTTACGCTTTTGGTATCTTGTTGGTATTGTGAATACTTGTATCATCAGAATCTCGGAGCTTGGTCAAAAGTTGATATTTTTGTTTGCAATATTGGTTTGTATTTAGTATTATCTCACGTACTTTGGCGGTTGGTGTGTAAGAGACGGACATTTACGCCTGGGAATTGTCAGTTGGTCAAGTGTATCGGGATTGGGGCCTTCGGGCCGTCAGGATAGTTCATAGCTGGCATAAAAAATAGCAACTATTTCATAGATCGGACAATAAGGCAACCCTACCAAAGAAGTCACACCTTTACCATTTTAAGACTAGTCAGGCTATTAGAATCTAATACATAGAGCACTGAACAGCTAACGGCACTTCATGTAAGCCGCACACGCAGTGTAATCTAAAATCGAGCCTAGACTGTCGAAAAATGGTGCTTAAGTGCCTAACGTTAGTCAAAGGCTGTTAGAGGCTTATGCCTAAGGTTTTTAAATGTCAGAGGTTCATGCCTATGACTAGTCAAGAGGTCATTGCCAACATCTAACCCAATTCTGATAGGGTCAACTAGCCGGCACCAATATCTATCAAATCTCTGATCTATGTATGCTATAAGTATATTCAAGGTCATTATATGCTCATACCTTCGGCTAAGTCAAGAGGTCATTACCAACATCTAATTCTAGACCAGGGGTCAGCAAATGGTGGGGCATGCCCCCACTGGGGGTAACTGAACCCTTCGGCGGGGGTAATGAGGGTCTCCGGGAAAACCATAATCTTTTTAGGATTCATGAACCGCACGAATTGATAAGGTGAGCTGCGTGGAATTGAGATTCTCATCTGGCATGGTCTCGAGAAAGAGGTCGCAAGTGAAGGTCATTTAAATCGGGTTCATGCAAATTTTAGATAGCCGTAAAAAATGATCAGCTCGGGTAGTTCTGAGCGATTAGTTGTGATACGCTACTCATTAACCGAATACCCAATTTGTAAAAACCGGGATGGCTCATCCTTTTTAGAAAGGGTTCATTCTACCCCCTCCCCCCCCCCCCACCTTGTATAGGTGTAAGAGTTAACTGTGTTGCATTTGGTATGCAGAAAATAGCGCCCCCGAAAGCGATGGAATATCAGTGACCATTGCCGTGTAAGGAATGGGGTCTGATAGGTGGCGGTAATGGTCCTGTCCCGATTAGGGGGCACCACCCTGGGGACCTGCCGACCCCTGTCTCTAGACAAGTGCCCCGCTGGAGAAGCCTGCGCCCGTGGCCTTCCATGTATCAGTAGCCCACGCCGCGTCATACTTTACCAGCCGCACTCGTTTTGGAATGTCCGACAGCGAGTGGCTTCCGATCCCGACTCGAGCGATATTCGTTAAATAAGACTGCCATGCTGTCGGGAAGGGACAGGACATAATCTGCACCCCATTTCTGTCAACGGTTACTTGAAATTGGCTGAAGAAAACATGAAATGTAATGTAGTGGTTAGGGTATAAAACGGGCGTCGAGTAGTTGGTTTTACAACGTTCAGATTCCTGGTAGCCTTCAGTAGGCACGCGTTGTAAAACAATACCACAGGCTGTGTTGTCATATCCTCCAATAAATATCTTGAATCGGGCATTTTGTAGCGAATCGGCATCATCTAGGAACACGTGACAACTGGCGTCGGCCATGCAATCAAAAGTGACGTCGATTTCTGTTGCGGGAGACTCTACCCAGCGAGTGACGAGAGGGCTGGATTCGCTGGGACTCCACGGACCGCTCAGTTCCCAGACTGGGTCCGAAGTGATGCCGGATTCTTCGAACAGCCACGGATCAGCTACGTTGGAGTGGATCGTCATCAAGGACACGTTTTTGGAGCTGCGAACGGTTACGTATTCGAAGGTGTAGCTACTAGGGTCGAAGGGCAAGCTGAGCAGCGGAGTTTCGTACGTGCGCCCAAAGGAGACGGTGTCATTATTCCAGGTGATTTTCAAAGGTATCTGGTCAACGCTGTTTATAAAACCAACGTTTGGTATGTGTTGTGGCTCCCCGGAAGGGAGGGAAATCTCCACAGTCTTGTCGCTTTCCCTGATGAGAAATTTGACAGCGTTGCCATGGTAACCCTCACAAAGGCGCAGCTCCCATTGGGCATTCTTGCCTAGTGTGACGTTCATCTTCAGTTCCAGTGTTCCAGGTTTGAGTTTCTTGTAGGTGGTAAAATAAATATCTGCCGACCAGGACATCCATTCGGGAAGAAGGAACCCAGGACGAACCTCCCAAAACCCGTCTTTGGGCGCACAGATTTTCTCCACGTACAGACACTGGTAGGAACCATCGGGTAAATCAGTGTGCTGGCATTGCG